AGGTGGAGGAAGAGATATCGGCAATTTTAGGATACATTTATATTTTAATCTGTCTCTTGATGGACACTTTTAAAATTTGCCTTTTTTTTCTTAAAGATTAGTCAAGATTCTAGGCTATAAGAATATATAATTATACTGAAAAAATAAAATATATCTTGTTGAAAGTAAAATATCGAATTGAAATAACAAAAATCACAATAATTGGCACTCATATTGTGACGATTAGCATATTTGTTACAGTAATTAGCACTCATTAAGAGGAGTATGTTAGATAAAGAAATATGTCACAATTTAGAGCTAGATAATTTCCGGAACTCAATATTTTTAAGTTGCGTTCCTAAACGATTTGTTAAATAAATGCACTGTCCACGTCCACCGCAGTATATCGGCAGCCGCCTTCAATTGCAACCTAATAAATTAATCGACAATTACTTACAACTTAATCGATTGCTCTTCTCGATAGACCACTTTCTCCCTTATCACCAACAGCTGCACATTCGACGATAGTAGTCAGTCTGTTTTGCATTTTAAATACGTCGATATGCTAATCGCTGTACTTCTGCCCCTACTAATTAATTGCCTCGGTCTGCGAGACCGACGCGAATCAAAGGCGCCGCGCTTGATATTGCAATAATTCGAAGGCTGTATCGCAACCTTGTTACTCGAAGGTGACACAGGCGGAGTCTTCGACTCGCCGAGTCAACAGGCGGCTGAACTTTGTTCGGACACCGTGTTGGCTGTCGTGTTGGATTCCCCAGCGAATGAATATATTCGCTGGGCTACTTAACGACGAAAATGAACTGCGAAGCGAATGAGACAACAGTGTTCGCGCGTCGAGAGCGACGGGAGGCCGGGCTCCCGAGGATCCTTCAACCGGCCGGAAAGAAGTGCGCGAAGGTTTGGAGGTTCCGTCTGGACGGCCCTGCGCCGCCGTTTCGCCGCTCGTGAAAACGTCCCTCGTCGAGCTCCGCGTGAATCATCCGTTGTCATGGACAAAGGTGGGATCCGTTTCCTCGCCTGTATTATACCTTCAGTTGCCGCGTTGCAACATCACGTTGTTTAAACGCTGTGCACCGGAGGTGACCATACGAATGAAACGAGACGTTGTGTAAGCAGACGCTCGTGATGGGTAGACAAATCCTTCGTGCGAACATTAATTGTCAGCCATCACCACGGCGACAATTTTTTGCGCGATTGAGAAACGATCGGGAATTCCGATCGGATCATCCAAAGGTCGTCCGAAAAATCTAGCCCTCTTCACGGGACGTTTCCAAGTCCCGAGTCGAATATGAAGAGAATAATCGACTGTGATTGGTCCGATTTCTTAAAGCTTAAACGGCTGAAATTCTCATAGACTCCGCTTAACAGCGTAGGGCTGGTAGGGAACATATGGCGGGTTAACTCCCTCTCGCTCCCTTCATCTTCGACGTTTCCATTCGAGGAGGAGCGTCACAAAGCGAGGACGACTGACACGAAAGCCCCGTTTTCTCTCGCACTTTCTTGCTGCTTTGCCGCTTGACTAGTCCCGCCACGCATCGTGTGCCACGTTAGGACACGACGGTAACGCGTATCACGCACAACCGGCGCGTCCCCGTGACGTCGTCGTGCGGCGCGAATCGCCCGACGACGACAAAATAACGGCAACGGTGAAATGCACGCACTGATCACGCGGTATTTCCACTTTCTTTCTCGACGATGTCGAAGCAACTTCGCCGCGCCGACGCAGCGCAGTCTCCGGCAGTTTCGGCGCTTTCCACAAAACGCCGAAGTTTAATCGTATTCACGATCCCGCGACTTACACCGACGGCTGTAATTTTTTTACTCTTACACCCGTTGTACGACGCGCGCGAAGGTGCGCACGCGAGCGAGGAGGAAAAAAACCTGCTATGATAATAGGACTGTTTTCTTTTTTTTACTTCCGTTAGCACGACGGTAATTAAGGGAGATAAGCGAAGCGCATNGGGGGGGGGGGGGGGGTCGACTCGAGGAGAAAAGCGACAGTAAACGAGATGACACTCCGAGTTTTCCCGCCGGATGTCGCGCGGCCGATCATCGTCGATAAATTATCTATGCGCTTCGCATATTCATCTCGTTGCACTTTCGTATCTCGCTTTCGAGACCGGCGCGCAGGATACGCGCGTATCCTCTTTATTGCGAGGGGAAACCGCGAGTTCGTCGACTCGCGAAACGATTGGAGATATCGAATTTGCTACTGCTTGCGAAGAAGAAAAAAAAAGACACGAAACACCTCTCGATTCGATCGCCCGTTTTAACTTGATGCAATTACCCGGTCGTTAACGTAACACGGCCGCACTACTCGCGCATTCTCTCTCTCTCTATCTCTCTCTCTCTCTCCTGCACGATCAGCGGGTGAAAGTGCATATCGGCAATTAGGAAGAGGAAAATCACGCCGCCCGGTTTAGATGCGCCGGCCTAAATCCGGATTATTAAGCGAAGAGAATTGACCTTTATGACCGATGGATTCGATCGGAGGATAATTAGTTGCTATCACGGGAACCCGGGGGATTTTCCATTATCGGCGACGCGCGGGTGAAAGCGCGCGGCAGGGCCGCGCGGGGAGTGCGGCCACCGCGTCTCGTTAGCATAATCAATGATTATCTCGCTCGCTCGCTCTCAGACGTATTCTGGTACACTTTTCGACGCGGATCGGCGGCGGATCCGTTCGGAAGAGCGACTTCCTCGCCGGCGGAGAAACGAGCGGATATCAGGCCCCGATAACCCGATTCCCGCTGCTTCATTCTCTCCGGCGAGACGCGGCATCAATCGCGTCGGCATGGGAGAATCTTCTCTCGGGGAATCCTAAAACGCGGGGGAAAAGAAAACAATCCGTCGGTGAATTTTCCGTTACCTGCATTGATCAGACGGAGACTCGGAGACGGGAGGATTTGCCTCGAAGGTTTCTACACCGAGAGAAAAATAGAGTTATTTCCGGAGACAACGGTATCCCTTTTTCATTTTAACTATATGAATAATAGCAATAACATGCACGTAAGGTTGTCACCGACCCTATGGTAACGCCAGGAAGAATAGTTTTCTCGGCCATTTTCCTGGTTAAAATGAAAAAAGAAAAGGATATCGTTGCTCCCGAAAATAACTGTATTTTTCTCTCGGTGTGCAATCAGTCAATCGTTCTCTCTCAATTATCCGATATCAACGCGGTTGAATGCCCGTACGAGTGTTCTCAGTCGCGGTGAGACAGAGACGTCACTTCTTGTCACCGAGTCTTCACCTGGTCTCCATTCAGGAACCGGGTTTTTTTTTCCCCGTGCGCAACAGGAGGCCGCGCAGGCGGCGCCGTTTCACAGTGCGACACAAACTGACGGCTGGCGCGCACGTGACGAGTAAGAATGAGCATCGTATCATCGGACAGGATCTCTCGATTCCGGCCTGCGACACGATTCGTGAAAATCCCCGGGGACTCCGAGCGAAGCTATTTGTCACGAAGACGAGATATCGGACGGTCCGCGGAATAATGGAAAGACGCGCTCGGCGCGAACGAGGCAGAAATTGCACTTTCGAATGGGATAAATTACGCCCGATTATCGTAGCGTAATTTCTGCTGTCACGGTGTCCGCTCGAGCGCACGGGTGTGTCCGAAAGAAACGGGCGGCCGGTGCAACTAACGACCGCTCGGCGAGATTGATGGTGTACGGGGAAGACTTCGCGCCAGACTTCGCGGATAGCGGCACACACGCCTCACTTAGGTTCGGCTGCGTGTTATTTTCGCGCAGGAAAGTGGACGTTTTCACCGGCCGCGCGGGCAGGACCTTGTTCCACAAAACTACGAGACTCGTAACGGGGGGGGGGGGGGGGGATAAATTATAGTACTTCGCGCGAATTCAACCGCGATGAAGCCGACGAGCCCGGGACTTGATCCGAATCGTTGAACTCGGCGAACGACCGCGAATGAAACGGAAAACTGATGGTAGTTGCTACCATTCTTTAACCGTCACGTTTATCGCACGGAAGCTTAACCGACGATTGGACTGTCGAAGGGTACGGTAAATAAATTTAATTCGAGGCGCTCGTATTTTTCTCACCTCCCATCGCTGGCTCTATCGATCGTGCACACGACTTTTCAAGTGCGCACGGAAGGAGAAGAAGACTGCTGTTGTGACTAAAACCTCGCTGGCTCAGCAAGTTTAGCGGTTTACTATCGTAACACACGGACAGCCAGTGCCTTGTCATCTACTCAATTATAATAAACTAAGTCTCAGAGTTACATAAGAGTAGCGATCTAGCGCCTGATAAACTTGGATACTGGCGCAACGTATGAACACACCTGACTGCATTTTCTTTAAATTTGGTATTATTGAATGTTATCGTTTATATATTATTCTTAAGAAATTTACCGACTAGTTTGTCTTTGACGGAAAGATCCGTCATTTAAATGTGTTTTTATTTCTAAAATTTGTTCTTGTTTGGCGAAAAGATCTGGGATATCTTCAAAATCCTCTGGGATATCCTGGAAATATATTACAATGTGGCTTGACTGGACTCAAATATTGTTTTCTTTTTTTTACTTTATTTCATTAAACACATCTGAAAAGCAAAAAATTTAATTTCTGTTTTTCGTAAAGAGTTTTATCTTATTTGAATATATGCCTAAGACTGAGTTTAAAGTAAATTTTAGGTTCTACGTGTCACGTCAACTTTTTTTTGCTCGTGAAAATTCAAATTTTCCTTTTCGTTGACTTTCACTGTAAGGGAATTGTTTCCTCTTCGAAGAAACGGTGTGATAGATAAAAAATCATTAATTTTAACGTATTAATAATTATTCGAAAATTGTCCACCTTTTACTCACTTTTCTTAAAGTTAACTCACTATTTCCTCATTTTCTCGAGAATGAAATTCATTTTCCCCACCAGTTCCGACAGTTAAACCGTTCCCATGCCCGTTGAACGGTCCGATTTTTTGTCTCACCTCCGTCCGAAATTGTGCGAGCAATTCACCGAGATGGGACTTTCCTCTTTTTGCAGCAGTGCGGCGGCAACAGCGGCGACGGCGGCGGCGGCGGCTCGACGGAGGGCGTCGTGGTGAGCGTCGGTGCCGGTAACGGTGGCGGCGGCGGTGTCGGTGGCATGGACTGCATGCCTCTGCGTCCAGGTCCGTTCCACTACTTGATCAGCGAGCAAGCCAAGTCTCTGGTGGCCCTGCAGGAGCTGCAGAATGAGGTCGGCGCCTTGCTCGAGTTCCGGGACCTCGTCATCGAGACGTTCCCAAACCTCCGGCACAAGATGGCCGCGACGGCGTCCGCGGGTGCGTCCGTGATGTCGTCCACCTGCACCCAGAGCTCGCACATTCCGCTGCCGTTGTCGAGCCCATCCTCGCGCAGGATCGCCGAATGGGAGCCCGGCAAGCTGAGACGGCGCGTGCCTCGCGAAAACAGCGGGGGCGGCGGCGGCAGCGGCAGCGGGGGCAGCGGCGGCGGCGGCGAGTCCTCGTCGCTACCCAGGAGTCGCAGCAACTCCCACAGCGGCGGCACCAAGAACAACTGCAGCGCTACGGTTCAGGACTCCGGCTTCAGCACAGAGGCCTCGTCGAAGGACAGCGCGTCGACGGCGATCGCGCCACGTGCCAGCAGTCCCCGGCCGAACGCGCTGGACGAGGCCGAGGACGAGCTCTGGAACCTGTTGGACGTGATTCACCGCAAGGGGATCCGGCTGCGTGAGGAGGTCGAGTGCCTTCAAGGTCGTCTGGAGAGCGTGGCGACGGAGGAGCTGGCGTCGACGGACGTGCTCGAGGCGGTGAAGAAGGTCACCGGGGCCGAAGAGGAGGAGAGGAGAACGATCGACGACCGGCAGGACAGCAGGGACCCACAGGTGATAGCGCTCAGGCGGGAGAAGGAGCAGCTGCTGGACAAGGTGGCCGAGCTCGAGGCGGAGACGATATCGAGCCGCGCGCGCACTCAGGAGCTGCAGACCGAGCTGGCGGCGCTGTCGGCCCTGAAGACCGGCCTGGAGGATCGACTGCAGGCCGGCCTGACGGAAAACGCCCCGGAGATCCTGGCGCCGGGAGTCCAGAGACTCCAGCCGATCGCGCCGGTGGTCACCTCGCCGAAGAACGCGAACAGCATCAAGAGCAAGGGCTCGGCGTTCGCGTCGGTCGCCGGTGGTCCCGCCGGCAAGGCTCACAAGAGTCGTTTTCGCACGAGGACGATCGAGAAGAACGTGCTGCTGGACGTGGTGGTCGGGCGCAACGCGGACGAGCAGCCACGGCTGGACGTCGACGTCGAGGCGAACGTGAACGAGAGGAGAGCGAGACTGGGAGCGCTCGACTCGATCCTGGTCTCGCCCACCAGGGTGGCTCATGTGAAAGACGTGGACTCGAGGAAGATCGCGGCCATCCTTCGCGAGAACTCGCCTCTCGAGCTCCAACGGCATCTAATCACTACTACCGTCCATAATCAGGTAACGTTGATCTTCCCTGTCGCGACCACAGGGTATTGAATGTAAGTAGGGAGGCGCGATGGAAAAAGTCACTTTCGATATCGGCTGGTCTAAATGACCGGCCGCCACTTACTTTGCCCGCTACGATTAAGAGTATGCGATGTACGCCGGTAGGTTATCGTATTTTCGTTATATATATATATCTTTAGCGCATCGATGAAATTCTTTCTCGATGCGCCGAGTTACAGCTGGTGGCTGCAAATGATGCGGGAAGTGTTCTTGTTCAGATTAATTGTCGATTTCTTGCAACCCGATCTTTCCTTCTTTTACTCATCTTCCTTCTCTCATTTCCCTACTCGCTTGCTCCAAGTGTCACTAGGCAGATAATATGACGGACTTTCGATAGATCGAATTCAATTGCGCTTCTTTATTTATATCCAGGACTCTAGTCGCAGCGTATTTAATCGAAATATGAATTTCAGTAACGAAATATATATTCAATTCTTGAAATTCCCTGTATCGAAGTCAGCTCGCTGATGTGCCGATCTATCGATAACTGATCGTTTGCAGGTCCTACAAAAAAGACTAGACGAAGTTGAGAAGAGTACGGAGACTCTGTCCGAACGACTGGATAAAGCGCGCGAGGAGAATGACGATCTGCGGTTCCAGGTGAGCTGACAAATTAAAATGCTGTATAACCAGCAGGATTGAGTGGTTAGTCAGTTAAAAGTTAAGTCAAAAAGTTAATAAAAATTAATTAAGTTACAAACTTTTAACTTAGTTAATTTTAAATGATGATTTAGTTAATTTTTTACTTAAATTGTGCAAAACGTGTGTAACTTTAACTTATTAACTTTCTTACATTAGTTAAAATAATGTGTCGGTATTAAAATCATGACGAGCTGTTTACAACAGAAATGAGGAAAGATAAAAAAATATCGGCCGATTTTTGTTTTTACTCTTTCTAAGCGCTAGTGTTTCTATTTTTTGGTATGGAATCCTAGCACAAAACAGTCGATATTTTCTTACAATTTTCTTACAAAACTACATTCTCATTATTTCCTTTACCTACCTAACCGTGGTAGCCCACGATTTCGCTCGCGAGAAAATCCCGGAGCAAACGTCATCGCTGGAGATCGCGATATCGTTCCGGGAACCTCCGTAAAACAAACCCGAAACCAAATGAAACGTGCGTTCCAGCTGGAAGAGCGGAACATCGAGCTGGAGGGCACGCGGGCGCGAGTGCGCGTGCTGGAGCGTCTTCAGCAGCGGCCGCCGACGGAGCAGGAGCCCGAGGCGGACTCGGAGCAGCCCAGGTGTCAGGAACAGAGCGGCCTCGAGCCCGGCAGCAGTACGGAGTCGGCGCGAGACCACCATCAGCCGGTCGAGATCAAACCGTCGCCTCGCCGGCGTCCCAGCCGCATACCTTTGCCCGGCAGTACAAGCGGCAAGGCAGCGTCCTCCCCGTCGAGCGGAACCACTGCGGTGGCCACGACGCCGCCTCGGCCTCCCGGCCACGGCAGGAACGACAGTAGGGAGTCGCTCAAGTCGTTGACGAGACCGCCGCGTGATTCTAGTCGCGACAGCCATGGCGGCGGCAAGTCGCTGTCGAAAGCGCGCGACTCCAGCCGGGACTCGCTCGGCAGCCGAAGTTTATCCAGGAGTAGCGGCAACGGGAGCAGCAATTGCATTGGAAGCGGAGCCAACAACAAGGAGACGAATCGGGAGTCGTCCCTGAACCGGTCCCTGCCGCGTAACAATTCCAGCCGAGACTCCCTAAACAAATCCTCCTCGCTGTCCCGCGCCCGTGACTCGCTGGAGTCTAACAACCTCGGCACGTCCTCGCCCACGGGGACGGCGGCCCCCCCTCGGCGACCGCCCGCTCCCGCACGCCGTTCCCACAGCCTGGCGCGCGCGGCGACGTCCGTTGATAGCGAGCACGGCAAGGTACGACCCGTAAAGCAATTCTTTTGGAGCAGCTGGCTGAAGTCACCGTTGTCCAATGGCCCGATTTAGTAGAGAGCTTTCTCCGCAAGCCTTCTCCAGGCAAGGACGGGCCGTAGTCGCTCTCTTAGGGACAGTCACCGCCTCCAACAGCGTGTTGCCCTTCTCGGAGTCCTCCACTCTTTTGAACCCCTTTCTTTCACAGCTCCGTCTCGGAACCGTGATTCCTTTGCTCCCGGATTGAACCCTTGCCTCTTTCTTCTCTCTCTCTCTCTCTATCTATCTATCTATCTCTCTCTCTCTCTCTCTCTCTATCTATCTGTCTATCTATCTATCTATCTATCTCTTTCTTTCTTTCTTTCCATTTCTCTCTTTCCGGACGTACCGACTCGGTCGAAACTCGATTAGACGGACTGAACGGCGCCACTGTCATCCGTCATTTCCACTTGACTGTGACGAGTCTCTTTCTATTGTCCTTCCAATTTTTACCACTTCTGTACCCTTCGCCATTGTAATTACCACTGTGTTACCGTTATTACCGTCCATTACCGTTACGTCACGTTGTTACACTGTGTACAATAACCGTAACAGTGACTGCACCACCACCGGGCTACCGTGATATACATACGAGAGCGCGCATCCATGAGCCGTCGAGCTGGTACCGACTGGTGTGCCAACTGGTCCGGCGATCACCTGCGAGTACAGATGTACGTACCAACCTTTGTCGTCCGCTTTCTCACCGTGCCTCTCGGTCCCGTCGTTTCCTCCACCTCTTCCAGCTTCCTTCCTTCGACCGCGGACTTCGACACGATATACACCCCCACCAGTATATACGATATCACACACAGAGACGGAAATTCCGCTCGCTGAGTCTGGCCACTGACTTTGGCTCCCTCCCCTCCGATATACCAATGTTCCTGAAAGAAAGAAAAAAAACGTACCTCTGACGAAGAGAGCAGAGAGACTCTCGGGCGACCGATTCTTGTCTTAATACCACCAATTGCCCGACCGTCCACCGTACCGAAATGTCTGACCTGGAGCAGGGCAGGCGAGCGTGCGTTCGAGCCCGTCCCCGTCGGCGGTCCAATAACGAAAGTGGCCCCTTCTCGCGTGCCGCCGGTTTTTTCTCGTAAGTTATGCTTCTTTTATTATCATTTGCTTCGATGCTTCTTTCCTGGATGTGGTGAGCTGTAGCCTCTGTTTTTCCTCCTATGCCCTTGTCTCTCTCTCTCCGTTCTCCTCTCCCCCCCCCCCCCCCCCC